GATTGCTCAGTAACCAGCACAGGGAGATGTTTGGTATTTGGTGGGTCATATGGTGCCTTGTTTTTGTCTGTAATTGGACAAAGTTATGTCAGGTTTCAGAGTGTACTTGTGTGCTGTTGATGTTCTGTGAGATGACTGGCTCATGTCCCGCAGGAATAATATGGCCCAGTGGTGGCATCAGCCAGCTTCTGACCACACTGAGGCCCAGCTGTCAGTGTCAGACCAGTTCCTGTTGTGGGGGCTGCTGTTTCTTCTGTCTTCAATTGCATATTTTAAAATAGCTACAACCCATCAATAATAATTAAAGACTTGGTGTTTTGGGGAGCCTGGGCGGCTCAGTCGGTAAAGGGTCAGACTCTTGATCTCATGGTTTGTGAGATGGAGGCCTGTGTCAGGCTCTGTGCTGACAGTGTGGAGCCTGCTTGAGATTCTCTCTCTTGATCTCTCTGTCTCTGTCTCTGTCTCTGCCCCTCCCCTGCTCATACTCACTCTGTCTCTCTCTGTCTTAAAATAAGTAAATAAATTTTTTAAAAAATCTGGAGGACTTTATAGGGCGCCTGGGTGGCGCAGTCGGTTAAGCGTCCGACTTCAGCCAGGTCACGATCTCGCGGTCCATGAGTTCGAGCCCCGCGTCAGGCTCTGGGCTGATGGTTCAGAGCCTGGAGCCTGTTTCCGATTCTGTGTCTCCCTCTCTCTCTGCCCCTCCCCCGTTCATGCTCTGTCTCTCTCTGTCCCAAAAATAAATAAACGTTGAAAAAAAAATCTGGAGGACTTTTAAATCCTTAAATATTCCCATATACATTGGCCCTGTTAGGGTTCTTAAATATGTTTATTTCTTCTTGTATCACACCCTGAGGAGAAGCTTTTTTTCAGATTATGGATTGTGCAACTTTTTCACACTAAAACTACTCCCAGAATTAGGGTAGGTCTTAGGTTTAATACTTCATAAGCAGGAATATTGTTCATGGTCATTCCAGACCCTAGTTCCAATACTTATCCCTTTGTCATGGAGTACCTCCTTCCTGTCTCCAGATTTGGTTACTGTTCTCTGTATCTCCTCAGAGGCCGATTTGCTCAGGAAAATCCAAAGCAAAGGAGAGAAAGGAAGAGTAATTATACTTAGAGGAAAAAAGGAATCATGTAGTGGGGAATAAGAGGGACTTAGTGGTTTCATGTGGAGGGTGTACTTCCAGAAATCTCCCACTCTGGCACATTGTCATTCTCCCCCCATACACACGCCCATGGGCCCACATCCCCCTACTCTCCACACACAGGCGAGAACTTTGTGAAGTCTGTGCAGCGTTGATATGCCCTGGCCCAGGTACTGGTGGAGCAGAACTTGCCAGCCATTGCCATACACTGTGAGACCCTTCAGGAGGAGAGGTGAGTGAGAGATGGAAAGATGTCTTGTGTCCTTGGGAAGAAATGAAATCCCTGAGATAAAGGACTGTGAACATTTTTATGATTGTCTTTATGACAAAGGCTTTCTTGGTCACAGTAGTTTAAAGGTCTTCAATATCGAATTGTTGTGGCCAGCAACCTATGTGGCCAAGGCATGGACATTAAGCAGGTGAACTCTGCCATCGACTACCACCGGCCTGGCGATTCCCACACCTACCTGCATCGGGTAAGCTGCACACCCACACGGACATCCCAGTGCACCTCCCAGCCCCTGATTTCCTATGTCTTCGTACATTACACCTTCGTCCCTCCTTTTGGGTGTCTTCCTAGTTTGGGGTCTTCCAGTGCTACCCTCTGTCCCCTTCCAGGAGGCCTGTGTAGGCTAGTTGCCCGAGGGGATTTTCCATCACGTTTGTGTCAAGTGAAAACGGTGCCAAGATCCTCAGTGAGGTGCAGGGTCAAACTGAGGTCGATGGTACTGAACTGCCTGAGGAGATGGACATTTCCTCCTCCAGTGAGTATTGATCTCATGAAATTGGGTCCTCCAACTTTTCACAGTCTCCTTGTTCCTTAGAGACTTTGTCTTGAAACATGTAGTGCAGAAAATGGTGCCTGATGCCTAATGGGTGCCTGACAAGTTTATGCACCCCAACCTTGATCCCATGTTGGGATGTTTTGTTCATTTTTATGTCGGTCCCTTTCCTCTCTCATCCAATTAATTTTTTTTTGCACCTCAGTCTCTCCTCTGACCCCACACCCCACATGAACACCTGCATGTATAGGGGTCTGTGTTTCTGCCAGTCTCACTTAGCCTTCCCATGCCTTATTGTAACTGTGCATGTTTTCTCTGCAGTTGCAGCCATGGGAGAGGACGCACCCATTCACAGAGCCTGATGCATATCTCACACCCAGGAACCAGGAGATCATACATGACCTGAGCTGAAATCAAGAGTCAGATGCCCAACCGTCTTACCTACCCAGGCACCCCTACAATTTATACTTCCTAATAATTTCTTTTTAAAAATATTTTAACTTTGAATATAGTTGAAAGACACGATTACATTAGTTGCAGGTGCACAACACAGTGACTCAAATCCTGAATACATTCTCTGTTTTCGAGAGAGAGACAGCCAGAGCAGGGAAGAGAGGCAAGAGGGAGGGAAGGAGAGAGAGAGAGAGAGAGAGAATAAGAGATTCTCAAGCAGGCTGATTCCTGTGGGGCTGGATCCCATGACCCTGGGACCATGAGCGGAGAACCCACTGCCACCCAGGAGCCTTTCACCCTCTGTCTACACCATGCTGTGCTCTGCTGTGCTCACCAGAGTGTAGCTGCCACCTGTCACCAGACAGTGATGTTACAGTATCACTCATGATATTCCCTGTGCTGTGCCTTTTATTCCTAAGACCTGTTCCTTCCATAACTGGAGCCTGTGTCTCCCACTCCCCTCACCCACTGTGCCCACCCTCCCAACCTCCTTCCCTCTGGCAGTCATCAGTGAGTTCTCTGTATTTATAGGTCTGATTCTGCTGTTTGCTTGTCTATTTATTCATTTGTCTTGTTTTGTAAGTTCCACATAGGAGTGAGATCATGTGGTACTTGTCTTTGTCAGTGTGATTTCGTTCACTTAGCAGACACACTGCCCTGTTTGTCCATCCATGTTGTCACAAGTGGCAAGATCTCATCCTTTTTGTGGCTGCATAATATTATAGTGTGTGTGTGTGTATATGTGTGTGTATATACCACACATCTTCCTTACCTATTTATTTGTGTGTGTGTGTGTGTGTGTGTGTGTGTGTGTGTGTGTGTGGCGGGTGGGGGTTGGGGGACACAGGTTGTATCTCTGTGGCTTTTGAAAAGAACCTCACTCACTGAACATCATCTGGGATGAGGGCGCCCCCTGGTGTCTGGGCTCCTGTCCAGGTGCTGGAGCTGAAGGAGACCCTAAGGAGGGCCTGGCTGAGGAGGAGAAAGGCAGCTGGGTCTTCTCTTCTTAGTCCTGTGGCCGCACGTGGCGTGGAAGGTAAGGGACTATCCCCCACTGCTCTGTTCTCGGGTGGATTCTGACTGAGAAGCCTGAGTGGGGTCTGGACTGTAACCCAGGTAGAGATGTCTGAGCAGAAGCCTGGGCATCAGTGGGCAGAGGAAGAAGTTTCTGAGCAGCCCTGGACTCCACAGGGGTCAGGCTCAGGGGTGAGGTGGGATTGCAGGAGAGGAGAGCTCAGGAGCCGGTGCCATTGCTGAGGTGTCTGTGTCCCTGTGCACCTCCTCCAGCCCCGTGATGGTGATACAGGGAAAACTGAAAAGTAGAAACACTTCCTTCGACTCCTACTTCTCAATGTTTCAAAACTCAGTGAAACAAAACACATTTCTGATTTGGAAATAGCATCTCAATGTCTACACAATGCTCCATAGTGTGGACATGTGCACTCAGAGTTTGTGAGTGGACCCCACATCAGGCGCTGGGCTGACAACACTGAGTCCACTAGGGATTCTCTCTCTCTCCCTCCCTTTCCCTCTCTCTCCCCCTCCCCTGCTTGTGTACTCTCTCTCCGTGGCTCAATAAAAATAAATAAGCCTTAAAAAATAAAAGAATTGGTGTTTTCACTTTTAGGGGGGTAAATACCCAAGAGTGCAATTATTGGATTATATGGCGAGTCACTATGTTGTAAATCTGAAAGGAATGGAACAGTGTGTGTAAGCTACACGCAAATAATAGAAAAAAAAGATAATCAGAAATATTAGAGAACACTTTGGAAAAGTAGACATGAAATGTCACACACATATATTGGTAATAAATAAACACAAAGAAAATGAGAGTGTGGAATATGTAGAGAGACAGGTGCTAACGGTGTGGTATGAGAGGATTGCAAAGCAGGGGGCTAAGACTCTCCAGGAGCCAAAGCCTAGGTCCCCTGGTTCAAGCCACTTTTATTTTTGCAAATTGTTGACAACAGCAAGCACATACAACATAATATTTGGCATCTTGACAGGTCATGGACCTGCAGTGTTTTCCATACTGGGTCATCAGTACATCTGGCACCAGACAAAACATTCTTATCCCCAGGGTGGCTCCCGGATGATGTCCTTCTGGAAAGAACGAGCAGTCCAGGTGGCTTTCTGTCCTGGGAATGAAACTGCTTTCAGTTTCTTGCTGCTCTGTCCCTTTCCTTCAGGACATTCTTATGGTGCTTCCAGCCTGTTCTCCAGCATCTCCCCTTTCTCTTTGTATACGATGGACTGTAGGAGGACATGGCATAACCCGAACTGTCGTCGGTTGATATGTTGACAAGTTCGTCGTCTCTGGCACAGACTGTACATGCAAATATAAACACACCGCATATTAATACAAACAGAATAGCAGTAGAGAAGCTAAAATTCTTAACATGCTCTACAGGGCTCAATTTTCCTCATCCCTCTGTTATACTTTCTAAGACCTTAGAACAGAATAACAGGTCCAGATTGGTTTTGAAAGTCTCATATATCTGTACTTGCAGACGTTGAATGTCCATAGACAAGTTAGATTGTCCGAGCAAGTGTCTCTAACATCATTCCATGGAAATTTAGTGTTATTAAATGGTAATGCAGCTACACGTATGGATGTAGTGTTCCAATCACAGAGTGATGATATTTGTCTTTGTAGGTTCAGTAATTGATCTCCCAGCAGCATCACACAGCCTGTTGTAGGCCTGCAATCTCACTGGACAGTCCACTGTCAGTATCCCGTTGTGTCTTCCAATGTTGGTTCGATTTCTCATGCCATTGTTGCACAAATTGTACTGTCTGCACAGATTGGTGCAAAGAGAAGCCGCAGTAGCTGCGGCCGCAGTCACAGCAATAGTGCCTATGAGAGCTGCAACAAGCATTCCAGCAAACTGTCAGGATCCGTGAAGAACTCATAGAGTGTGGCCCATCAGATACATTTCTGAACAATGTTGCCATGGTGGAGACATGGGAAGTGGCAGCATAGGCCAGGGTGTGCTCTAAGTAAATATAAGCCTTTGGATAAGGGAGTAAAGGGTATAGAATTGTTAAGACAACTGTATAATGCACAGTTAACACAGATCATAAGGGCCTCAGAAACATTCCAAACTCTCTGTCCCTTTAATAGTATGCATGGCAAATGGACACAAGCCCGTATGTACCAGGTACTATTGACCGTGAAAGATAAAGTAGCAATGTTGCTGGAGCTGTTTTTATACTATGTGCCCTTCCAGGTATGGAAAGGGTGGGGGGCAGCAGTTAATTTCCATAGATGCTTTTGTAAGGGTGCTGGTTGTAAATGAGGACTGGACGCAGAAAATCCCCCACTGTGCCAAACAATTGAGCCATTAGCAGTGGTGAAGATGGTATGATTATGAATC